TCGCGGTTACAAAAAAGTAACGTTCGATTATTCAAGCAGTGTCAATCAAACAGAGGACGATTTCGAGTTATGGTTGGAGAAGTCCGCCCAGAGTCTGAACCAAAGCTGGGTCGATTTGCTGGAAGAAGAAGAAGAAAGCCACGTCGAAGAAATCAAAAAATCGCCTGTGAAAAAAGTTGCTAGTCCTAAGTCGAAGCCAAAGTAAGTTTGTGATTGGTGTGTGCGACGTTGTTTCAGTATTCAGAATTTTCAAAGATTGTTCCTTGTTTAAAAATATCATTGCCAAAAGAGTGTTTCTGCTTTGACGTTCAAAATCCAGCAGGTTTTTGTAGTATTTTTAATATCAAATATATGTGTCCTTCAGAATGAGATACCTTACGCTTTTAATATTGACATTTCTGCACACTTTTTGAACAAAGGAGATTTTACATTGTTGTCTGTGTATTGAAAGTCGAATCTGAGACAGAGTGAATTAAGATTCGTTGTAAATCTATTTATTATGTTTCCTTTGGTCTAAGATTTCTTTATTTCAAAGTTCTGCGTTGCCTCTTTATAGTTACAGCTGATGAGATCATCCGTTAAAGTAGCGTTCTTGTTTTTTTTGTCTCATTCCGTTTAATTCTTACTAGATTTGGTTCAGATTTCAGGATACGATCAGCATTCTTTTATTTTTTAGTTTGTTCTTGATTTTGAATGACATGAAAGTGATGTTTTTGGGCAGAATCTCTTAAAGGAAATAAATGATGGTATCTATGAAAAATCTTTCCCTGAAAACAACCATTTTACCCTGTTACTCTCTTTACTCACTTTTTCGTTTTTAGTGCTGGTTTTTGGTGTTCCTTATGGTATGTTATTCATACTTCCGCTGATTCATAAGTTGCCTCGGAGACGTTCCGAATGGTTTTCCGACTTAAGCGTGGAAGTTCAGTTTGCTCCTAATGGGCGTGTGGTAGGGTGGTCGATTTTTAATGTCTTACAATTACACTCTTCAAACAATTATACTTTATAAAGCAGATGGTGCTTACGACTGTTATAGTAGATTGAGTATGTTGCCCTCAATCAGACATTGCTTTGGTCCATTTTTGTTCTGTGGACCTTGAAGGACTTGAACGGCCATGAATCGTTTTTTCCGCATTGAATGAATCAGAAAGATGGAGAATCTAGTTTCTCATTCTTGCACGACCTCTATAACATCGGATTTCAGATTGGACGCGTCAACCCGTTTCATGATGCTTTTCATTTGCTTTGTGTTATTGGTGTGTTACTGTATTTATTACCTATTATCTGTTACCTCTTATCTGTATCATTTATTTGTCGCCAACTTCCATATTTTTAACTCGTATCACAAACCTGCAATACCATACTAGTGCCTTACTAATATTTTGCTGTATAACAAGTCTTAGAACATTACTTCGATGGCTTTTTTTCACTTTTAACAGTTCGAAAACCCAAATGTTTTCAACTTTAATCGGCATAATAATACTTTTCGAATTTTTTAGTATTTTCAATTGGTCGGGTTAATTAATGTATTTAAAACAATATTTTCTAATCACTGAAGCAGTAAAGTTAAACATTTAGTGTTTGATCATTGTAGCAGTTTTCTAAAAATTTTTAAATTGGAGAGAATTTGAGGTATTTGTTGGTGGCCATTTTCTCTTTGAAATTTACCATGCAATATTTTCTGTTATGGTCGATTCATTAACACCCTGAAGTTGGACATTATTCATTGTCGTCCATTCAGAAACCATTAAAGTTTATAATTGACATTACCGCTTTTTTTTTCAACAATTCAGTGATTAATATGTATCTTCATATTTAGTAATTGTTGTAATCAAGTATTTTTTATATCAACGTATTCCTACATTATTTTGTGAATATATTGCTTGAATTGCAAGGTCCAAAAGGACAATATCGTCTTTTTTATTAATGTGATACTCTTTAACCCCATGATTCGCAACTTATATAGTCTACTAATTGCTTTTACGTAATAATTGTTATTTGCGCTCTTATAGGTATGTGAAGTCCCTGGCTTTTAGCGAGGCAGTTGTTAGTAATTTTAAATTCACTGATAAACCGCAGCAAGCAAACAGTGATATAAAAACATCTACGGAAGTTGACCATATTCGCAAAACTCGTGGTGTTCGAAAATATACCAGTTCTCCTTTGAAGAAAAACATGGCGAATGCTTGCCAGAAGTAATTAAAATTTTTGCTAGTTTTGTGCAGTGTAATAAGACACCTGTAGGGTAGAATTGATTTTTGAATTTTTTAGGAGACCAATGCCGTATGCGCTACGCAATCCTGTAACCTCGCTTCAGCCAAAGTCACCGCTGAAACGCAAGGCAACGGACGATATCGGCTACCGCTCGCCAAGTAAGTGGCTGAAGGTGCGACAAAAGAAGTACTTGCACGAGGAAGATACGCAAGACAGCCCTGCTGAAGAAGAAGATATAAGGTAGGTGTAGTTTTCAATATTGTGTTGTAACGATCGTTAGTTCTCTTCTGTTGTTTTGTCTTTGGGAGTTATTTCTACAGGACGATCCTTGTTTTCGATTTTCTATCTCATTGTTGTTATTCATGGAATTTAGATATCAGACTAGTTGTCAGTCATTGTTAACCCATCACCTCAATTTTCTATATATTGTTAACATTTTTAAAATTTTTAATTTCTTTGCCGTTAGACGGCAAGCGGTCATATTCTTTGCGTAAAGTTCTCTCAATGATTGCGCAAAGAAGTTACACGTAAATATATATCTTTGGGTCTTCGTGCTGGTCCCTGGTCTCCAGGGCGACTAATTCCATGGTTAGGTTCTGATAGAAGAATCGTTTGAGCGTTTTGGCTCATTATTCTGATAAAACGAGGTTACAACTACGTGTATCATGGAAAAAATTTCGTTTCTTAAAACTGGTTTCCTCCTTTGGAAGTCTAATATGACAGACTGATTTACAGCAAGCGCTAGAAGCCAGAGCATTCAAACAGTGTGTTTACTAAGCGACGAAATTTACACCGCAGAGGAAACTGAATTTCTCTTGAAGTATCTTTCTAATTTCACGGTGTTAGGCACAGTGAGTAAAGACATCAGTGGCTGGAAGGAACAAGAATAACTTTTACCTTTCCCAGTGCGTCCGTCTGCCATTAGAATCGTTCGATTAACTTAGTGTTTTAAAATACTGAATCAGTGGAATGTTTTTTGTTCCTCGTTACTGAATGGGCAGGTGCTTGGAAGCTGGTACCGAGATACCTCATGCCTGATGTGTTCTTCTGCTCACTTTCTAAACCAGAACAAGAAACAACGGATTCTCTCTCCGATTTTTGTAAGGTAACAAGAAAGGCAATGAATCTTGAAGCTCGCTCGGTGAATTTGGAAGCAATTAGGATAAGGCAAAAAAATATTTTCAACTCTAACTTGTGACTAGTCTAAATTACTCACAAAATGATCGACGTATACATCATCTGGTTTATTGCAAGTTGTTGAATTGTTTTTTTTTGGGGGGGG